CAGGCACATGCTGAAAACTACTTACAACAAGTTTTTCTTCAAGGAACAAAAGGCACTATGGATGAAAAGGATTTTAATGCATATATTATTTTTCTAGCGATGGATGTCGCTAATAATCGCATTGATACATGATTAATTCTATGTGTGATTATTCTTTGTATATATATATATATATATATATATATATATATATATATGTTTTCGAACTCAGGACTGTAAAAAATGGTATGGTACTTCTGGAGTAAGGAGGAGGCTTACTGCCACTTAACCTCGAGGGGAAAACCATCAGTCTTTAGTATTGTCAATTTTCAACGTGTACAAAAAGAAGAATAAGTATATAGGGTAGAGAATTTTTTGGCAAAGGGAAAAAAAGGAAGCCACCGCGTCAGGCACCGTTAGGGTATGACCACCTTTGTATTCGTCGGCGATTATCTTTAAATAGCTTTACTGCGAGGGTAATGCATTTTACACGTCTCCCCTTCGAATACACTGCATTTCACATAGTTATCATTTCTTTATAATCAGGCCTGCCGCGCGCGCCATTCGGCTATCCAATTTCTGTAGAAATGTTGATTCACACGAAAAGAAAAGGGAAAACCCCCCTCGATTTACGAATCGTAGAACTCTGCTTAGGGGCCGTTTCTTTTTCAAGATCATTTTTTTGATTTCTTTTTTTTTTTTCTTTTTTGCTCTTACTATGAGAGCAGCGCCACCATTTCTGACTTTTTTTTTAATGCTGGACGAGTTGCTTACCGCGTTCGACACGAAATTGGACACGGGTAATTCCCTCCCTCTGGTACCACTCTCTTTTCACCCCTCCTTCTTATGATACTTTCTTTCTTTCTTTCATTCTTTCTTTCTCCGAAACACTCCATGTTCTATGTTTTATTTGTTCTATTCCTGAAGTACTCCTTTCTTTTGGTTTTTTAATGTCTCTTTTCTTTTCTTTCTTTCTTTTTTCTTTCTTTCTTTTTTCTTTCTTTTCTTTCTTTCTTTTTTCTTTCTTTCTTTTTTCTTTCTTTTCTTTCTTTCTTTTTTCTTTCTTTCTTTTTTCTTTCTTTTCTTTCTTTCTTTGAACTATTCCATGTTTTTTTTCTTTCTTTCTATTTCTCAAGTACTTATTTTATTTCTCTCTTTATTTCTTCATTATTTATATTTATGAAGTTTCTCATTCATTCCTTAATTCTTTTTCTTTCTTTCTCTCTTTCTACCCCTTCCTTCCTTCCTTCCTTCCTTCCTTCCTTCCTTCCTTCCTTTAATTTCTGAACTACTCCATTCTTTTTGTATCTATTCTTATTTCTTCTTTTATTCTTTCTTCCTTCTTTCTTTCCATCCTTCCATCCTTCCTTCCTACTTTCTTTCCTTTTATTTCTGAACTCCTCGATTCTTTTTGTATCTATTCTTATTTCTTCTTTTTATTCTTTCTTCCTTCTTTCTTTCTTTCTTTCTTTCTTTCTTTCTTTCTCTTCCTTCCTTCCTTCCTTTCTTCCTTCCTTTCTTCCCACTTTCTTTCCTTTTATTCCTAAACTTCTCCATTCTTTTTGTATCTATTCTTATTTCTTCTTTTATTCTTTCTTCCTTCCTTCCTTTCTTTCTCTCTCTCTTTCTTTCTTTCTTTCTTTCTCTTCCTTCCTTCCTTCCTTCCTTTCTTCCCACTTTCTTTCCTTTTATTTCTAAACTTCTCCATTCTTTTTGTATCTATTCTTATTTCTTCATTTATTTCGTTCTTCCTTCCTTCCTTTATTTCTCTCTCTCTTTCTTTCTTTCTTTCTTTCTTTCTGTTCCTTCCTTCCTTTCTTCCCACTTTCTTTCCTTTTATTTCTAAACTTCTCCATTCTTTTTGTATCTATTCTTATTTCTTCTTTTATTCTTTCTTCCTTCCTTTCTTTCTCTCTCTCTTTCTTTCTTTCTTTCTTTCTTTCTCTTCCTTCCTTCCTTCCTTTCTTCCCATTTTCTTTCCTTTTATTTCTAAACTTCTCCATTCTTTTTGTATCTATTCTTATTTCTTCTTTTATTTCGTTCTTTTTTTTCTGAATAGCTTCATTTTCTGTTTTCTTTCTTTCTTTTCGCTTTTTTTCAACTACTCCATTCTTTTTCCTTTCCCTTCTTCATTTCTTTCTTTCTTTCTTACTTTCTTTTCTTTTCTTTTGTTTCCATCTCCTCGTCGTCTCTTACCAAAACTATTTGTTTTATCATTTTGCTTACTTCAACCTCTACCTCCCATCTTCGAAGTATAATTCAAGGGGTCTCCTCTCTTCCACGCCGCATACCAACGAACGTACGTAAACGTTGTCCAATCCCTTATCAGCCCGACCGACACACCTCTGCTGGGCTAGCACAAACTCTTTGTACATTGTCAGCAGTGCTTGCCCTGGAAGCTGAGAAAGGGACAACCCAGAAAAACTGTAATAATCCAAACGCTGTAGCACCAAAGAAGCGCTCATCAGAACACAGTCACAACCATGAATATCCATAGGTAGTGTAACATGTCGGTAGGTAGATACATAGCTTGCTTAAATAGGCCCAGGAGTAGAGAGAGTTTGGTAAGTAGGTTGGTCGGCCGTTAAGAAAATAATAGTAATAACGAGTGGGACTCGTTACAAGGTAATGCATAGCAGAATTGGCTTTTTTTTTTTATTTACGAGCATGCGTGGTGCGTAATAACAGCAATGGGCATCATGTGCAAAAGACATGCCTTACTTGTCAGATGTTTCCGAGTGCACTTTTCAAGCCTG